ACAACAAGCGTGAGAAATGATACTCAGAAAGACCCTGAGCACAAAGTAAATGAAGAGAGTTAGGCGTTACAGAAGACATGAAGAGAGCGAAAATCCGTTTATAATAGCGTAGGCCGCAGGCTCTAGACGCAACCGGGACATTTTGGTGTCTCCAGCAGGTGTTCCGATTTTGTCCGGAATGTGTCGGTTTGAAAACGTGATTTTGTCGCGCACTTGTGACCCGAAACAAAATCAGGTGTCCTGATTTTGCCTCGACACCGGTTTCGGAAGTCGCGCAGGCTTTCCGTGACTACATCTCCTCAGACACTCGCTGTTGACTCGCGCCGGAGATTCTCCCCTTTTTGAGGGATTCGCGGGAAAGGGCGTAGACATGCGCGAGACAGTATTTTGACAGCTTTTGGTGTCGCGAAAGGAAATCGGGAGATGATGAGTGACTCAGCGAGCAGTTTCGCAATATCGACGCGCATTTCAAATCTCAGCTCATGTTGCATCATTCCAGGTTTTTTGCTACCTATTTCCAAATTCGTGCATTCCATCCATCCCACCTAAGCCCTCTTATTCCCATTAATTTCATTCCAATCCAACATTAACTTTATTTGAAATCCAATTTTGAAGCTTCTTCTCTAGAAATCAAAGCTCGACTATCTCCGTGATAGTGGGATTGTGGAATTTGAGTTTTTGTCCATAATAGCCTAATATGTTTCAGCATGTAAGTTTTGGCTTTATTTTGGTGCCTATTTTCTTCACTGGTTATCAGGCTATTATGAAGAAAAACTCAAATTACAGGTTACTGATCGTGAGCGACTTGGCGACTACTGCGGAGAGACGGTGCACTTAATTCCACATTTTACGAATGCAGTAATCCAGTGGGTTGAGCAAGTGGCCAGGATTCCCGTTGATGGCACATTGGAAAGGCCAGACGTTTGCATCATTGAGGTAAATAGTATGTTTTCATTGCCATTCTTTACGTAAATTTTGATTTGTTTTGGTTTTTTTGAGTCACTCTCATTTGAACTTACCATTTTCGATGCACGACATAGGACCGTGTTGCTTGTTTCAAAAAGAAATTGAGGGGGGCGTATAGTAAATCGTCCATTCCACGACAGCTCACCTATGCCACTTATGTCACATACGCAAAACTGCCAACCGACGCATTGTTGTTAACATGTTGTTGCTGTTGCAACATGCTACCTGTGGGAACGGCCATAGGTTGTCGGCGTCGTCGAAGTTGTCGATGCTGTGGGGTGTGGCACGCCACATTCACGCCAAACCAGTCTTGCTGTGATGTGTAAGCTATCTTTTCTTTAGGTTGCTTCCTTGCCCTGCGGAGAAGGAAATGGGCTGACAGTGCTGCAGCAAAAGGAGACGAGGAGAAAAAAGGAAGTGAGTGGATTACCACACAAATCTTAATAGCTTTTGTTCTGCATTGCAGAGGTGCTCCTTATTGTTGACAAGAAGGAGCTGTCAGACTACGTCAAGCGCTTTCCAAATTTCCGTTTCTTAATTCTATGAAGTGTCTGATGAATTTCTTTTGGACATAGTGCTCATTCTCCTTTCTTAAAGTATACACCTTGCACCTGCGTCAAGGAAATAGAAAAGACCATCCCCGACAAGTTTTAGTTCATCTGCTACTAATTCTTTCTAATTTGCTGTACTTACATATTACTATCATATCATTTGCCTTGACTCTACTCCCGCTTTTGCGTATACCTTATTTGCAATCCGAGATTCTCATTGTTTAGACGGTTCCTAAGTACACTTCTATCTCATCATGTATCTCCATATCGTGAAGCTTTAAGATAGTAAGCATAGTAGTTTGACTTCCCCGAAGTATCCTTATGCCATTTTAGAAGTAATAAATTGGTTAAGACTTTGTAGAATTCATATATATATGCGTGTACATATATACAGGGTGTCCCAAAAAATGCATCGAACGTTTGATCGTTGATATCTCTCTTCCCAAGAAGTCTTTTGCCTTGTTTCAGGTACCGTTTTGTAGAGCTGGCTTCAACTTAGATTTGCATTATAGAACGAATCACCCATCTCTCTTCATCACTGTAGGATTACGGTAGAAACTTGAAACATATGGTGTAAATGTGGAAAAAGCTGTCGTTTCAAAATTTTTCAAAAAAATGTGAAAACTTGTGTATCGGGGTTTTTATGGACGCTGAGTTCAATACTCAACTATTCACAAGATTACGAAGCTTTCTAAAGGGTGTGACCGCACTTTTTAGGAACATTGAAAAAATGGCCGCTACCTCTTACCTGGCATAACTCTTCAATGAAGCATCATAATTAGTTGGAAACTTTACAGTTATAATCAGCAACTCTAATTAGCCTAGTGTAAAAGCTTTCAGGCTGTTTTGTTTCCTTTCTAAGGCAAAATATGGCCTTTCATTGTTCAAAACCCTCTTTGAAGTTTCTACCGTAATCCTACAGTAATGAAGAGAGATCGGTGATTCGTTCCATAATGCAAATCTAAGTTGAAGCCAGCTTTACAAAACGGTACCTAATGCAAGGCAAAAGACATCTTGGGAAGAGAGATATTAACGATCAAACGTTCGATACATTTTTTTGGGACACTCTGTATATACATACATCTTATATATAAAGCTGAATGTCTGTTTGTATGTCTGTCTGTATGTCTGTCTGTATGTATGTATGTATGTATGTGTGTACGTATGTTCCGAATAGAAAATTCCATTTCTGAACCGATCCGGACCAAACTTGGCACACATACACTTCGGGCCCCGGCGGGTGTCATAGGCTACTTTTCGTCATCGATCGATATCGATTTTATCAATTTTTATCGATTTTTTTGCTGAGTTCACCTACGGGGCTGGGAGTTGGCACAGGGGGGTAATCGAGCATGGGGATTCCGAATACAATATTGGTTTTCAGAACTATCGATTACTTTTATCGATTTTATCGATTTTTTTGCAAAGTTTGAGCTACGGGGCTGGGAGTTTGCACAGGGGGTAATCGAGCATGGGGATTCCGAATACAATATTGGTTTTCAGGATTATCGATTACTTTTATCGATTTTATCGATTTTTTTGCAAAGTTTGAGCTAGGGGGCTGGGAGTTGGCACAGGGGGGTAATCGAGAATGCTGATCATCCCCAAGGGGAGTGATCAGCATGCTCGATTACACCCCTGTGCCAAATTCCAGCCCCCTAGCTCAAATTTTCAAAAAATCGATAAAATCGATAAAAGTAAGGGCGATCCTGAAAACTAATATTGTGCTCGTAATCAGCATGCTCGATTACCCCCCTGTGCAAAATCCCAGCCTCGCATGTCAAAATTTACAAAAAATCGATAAAATCAATAAAAGTAATCGATAATTCTGAAAACTAATGTTGTATTCGGAATCCCCATGCTCACTTCCCCCCTGTGCCAACTCCTAGCCCTGTAGGTGAACTCTGCAAAAAAATCGATAAAAATCGGTAAAATCGACATCGATCGATAACGAAAAGTGGACTGTGATACCCGCCGGGGCCCGAAGTGTATGTGTGCCAAGTTTGGTCCGGATACGGCGGAGCCGGGTAAGCCAGCTAGTATATATATAATGTATATTTATACATACACATATAATATATACATATATGTAATGTACAGCAAGGAGGGATAAAGAGAAATTACTACTGCGAGGTAACGCGCTCCATTTGCGTCCGGACAACAGGATGTGTCGCCCTCGAGCTGCCGCGTATTTCCTGCAAGATGCGGGTCGCGTCAAAGTGTTGCCTCGGGCAGCATTGTTCCGACACATGATGCTGTCTCGGGATTTCCTCGCGAGGCCGATTACTTGTGTCGCGCCTTCATTCAGCGCTTAACAAAACTTTGGGCTGCGCGAGTCAACAACGAGTGTCTGAGTCGTTTGTCCTTCCCGAGTCAACGGCGAATGTCTGAGTGCGATCACGAAGTAGGCATACGAGTAGTAAAGCTAGTGCGAACCTCTGCCTCTGCGAAGCAGAGGTGACGCACTGGTGATTAATAATTAACTTAATTAATTGATATATTACTAATTAATACGTTATTAATCTATTTTACAATCAATCTGATTAATCTATGAATTGATCAACACCAATCTCGAAATTTCACCTTTGTGAATCTATGAGTAATTTCAGTCATTCGTAAGTCGGACGATGAGCAGATGAGGGCATGTGGACTGGACTGGTATGAGACCGAAAAGTTACGTTGTTGGACGAGACTGAGGGATAGCTTGTTGTCAGATGACAGTATGAAAGTACATTTAGGTTCTTGTAGGCTTCTACATCCGGTGGTTTCGAAGGCGGTTGCCTGGCTGAATTTTGCCTTCGAGATTTTCATCTTTCCAGATCCTTCTCGCCAAAAGAAATCCATATCTGGGCTTTTCAGCGCATAAAACTGGCAAAAATGAGCTTTTTTACTGAATGCTGACCTGGACAACTTTGCAAAAGCTCATTTTCGCCAGTTACATGTGCCGAGCAGCTCAGAAATGGATTCTTATTGGCGGGAAGACTCCGAAAAGGTGAAAAACTGGAAAACAAAATTCTGCCTAGACACTGCCTTTATATATACGCTCACTGTTCTACGTCAAAAGAAAGCGGAACAATGCACAATGTCTACTGCCGGACGAACGACAAAACGAGGGGCGAAGGCGGCTTCATTACTCGCGGGGCGCCTGAGGAGCAGGGTTCACAGTGTACCTTAAGTTCAATCCCAATTCAGACGAAAGTTAGGCTGGCGCTGCCCGCTGCACAACGTTTTGAGCAGTATCGTGAAGAAACTTCGTTTTGTGCTAAGAAGCCTTGTGTGTCTTATTTTTCTCCTCTTTGCTTGAAAAAATGCCAGCGCTGTGCTCTTGCAAATCCTACAGCGATGCGCCGTATATAAAATCACCTGCATTTGAAACAAGCTGTAGAAGATACGCGGAAAAGCCTTTGAAAAGAGAGCCTTTTCATCTACATTTTGAAAAGTAAACGATGTTGTATCAAAAGGAAATAACAAAGGCAATTCTTTTCACAAATCTTTATTGCTAACCGTACCATAGGATGAAACTAATGAGTCAGCCATGCGAGTGTAGCATAGACAAAAAGATATGTACGCGCAAAGAAAAGTTCTGAAATCAGCACTTTTTGATTGATTAACTTAAGCATAAATGCAAACCTATATAATCGCTGAATTTCAATCCTGTTTCATTTGTGGTAAATGAATCTAAGAGGAGCATCAGCATTGATATCGGGAAAGACGCTCTCTAGTTCATCGTCAATTTTGAGCTCGTGCATTTTCGCAGCCAACCTAAATCATTGTTTCATTATAATAACTTCAAATAAAAGCTCCGGAGAGTTCGTCATTGGGTGTGCAACATACTTCCAAGCTTCATCGAGCTCTTCGGGCTTGAGGTAATGGTTTGCAACGAGAGACCGCGTGTGCTCCATTGCCATGTGAAACACCTGAATATATGGTTTACCACAGGCTACACAAATTGACACAGCTACCTCATCCACATACGCTTTAGCTTCTTCTGAAAGTTTGCCGTAATTGTGCTGCAAAACAACCATCTTTCTGTAAAGATCTGGATCCTTATGTCTCTGTACATCCGTAGCCTGCAAACAATGCTTGAGCCTGTGTACGAACGTTATCCACGTAAACCGAAAATTTGTAACAGACTATCCCTAATTCAAAACACGTACTGAAAACCGATGCGAGATAAGGTAAGTTAGAATTCCAAAATTTCTTTTTTTTAATGTTCGAACGATACGGTCTATTTAGATGCGCAGGAACGCACGGTTAATAAATCTGGCCACATAGATCCCACAGCCTAGTCTTACCCATAACAGGTAATCAGTCAAAACTTGGTTATTTGGCGGATCGTACGTAGAGCACGCTTGTGCAGCCTACAAATATCTCGCTTTCATTTGTGAAGAATTTAGCAGTGCCGTCAGGAAAAGTTTGCAACACTCGGGCTAAGAGTCGTGGACATCCCACCCCCTAACCTTAGAAATCACGCAATCACGTTTATGACCGGTTGTGCAGGAGTCCTGATTGCGTCATCTGTCCATTTGGAAGGCATGGGTATTGCATGGAGTCTGGCTATTATGTTTAATCACTGCCAGACGTGTGGAGATCAGTACATAAGGATGATCGGCATGCCTTTGTGCGTACGGGCCAAATAGCACCTGATAAGCTCGAAAAGTCGAAATTGTCTAATACTCTGGCGCCCACCGCAGGCAATGCTATAACGATGAACAGCTGAGAGCTGAAACCATCTTATCGCAGGAACCTGACACAGTAACTCAAGAGATCCGGTAAGAAGCAAACCTTGAAGAGCTCGTTAGCCGTAAAGCGCGCCAGCGCAACTTGTTCGCCGTAACAAGCAGCCAGCTGATGTAACCCCAGTTTTCACATGTTTTTGTTCTTTAACACGTTTTTGATGTTTCTTTGTCGTTAAAGCCTCATTTTCGTCATTTTTGAGCCAAATGGTGCGTGATAACTCGTGGTTTGCATCCGTTAAGTCAAAGTGTAATTGTTAGTATTCTCGAAATATTGTCATTTTTCTTCCAGTTCTCCTTGATTTCACTAATCAATAATGCCTACTAATTACATGTTCATCCTTTGCTGTTCTGATGTTGATGAACGTAGTTTTTTACTCCGCATACATTTGCAATACGGGTTTGTGCAGCTCTTTTTTGTTCTATAATATCGCTTCGAATTTCATGCTTTCTCTCGATTATTATATTTTGTAGATAATATTTTAGTATGCTTGATAAAGCGTAGCTCCGCGTTGTGTCCATTTTGCCAAAAGGGTTCCGTTGCGCAACTTGTATCGACATCTTCGAATCGTGCATAAATGACTGAAGAAGACACCCGCGTTATTCAGTACGATTTCAAGAGGTCCTTCTACACAGAAGAGTTTGGATGTGACACGTGCGAGAGGACATATATCACATATGATAGATTGAGGCAGCACTCAAAGGTGGAGAACCTAAAATTTTTTTGGAATCTTTTTTGCGTAAAACATTTATCCAATCTCCCTCGTATTAACTTATTCAACATTATCATGCTAGTATGTGAAGTTCGGGCGTATATACACTATAAAAAATACTGAAAATTCTCCATCGAGAGAAGCCCACACAGAGCTCCCCGTTGAATGTCCAGGATACGAGGCCAAATTCAGCACTTACTTATAAGGAGTTAGCAATTCACTGATGCAATCAACATGCCAATGGTGACACAAGTTTTGCGATACTGGAAGTATGTTTCGGGTTCACAACTTTTGTTTCACCTTATTTTTGTTCCATCGTAAAGCTTAGCTTATTTCATACACATTTTATCATTCTTTTGGCTTTCGAAAGGACAGTCATCATACGCTTGCTTGTATAAGGATCGCGTTAAGCCTAAGACATATCTCTCGCAATTTCGCGAAATCGCCAAATCCTCGCGACTTGGCGATTTACCAGAAGTTAGAGATTAAGCATGCGAGGCTATCAGGTGCATGGGTGCATGAATTCGGAAATTGTAACAAACACAGCAAGTCTGGCCCAAGCAAACCGTGTTTACGACCAGCTATGGAGAGTCGTTGCAGTGCCAGACCACACGGCGACTAAAATCGCCTAAGGTATGCCTTAGACCTTAGGCCTCGGGCATAGCTCATGGATCTCGTCGTCCCGCGATCCTCTCGACAGACAAATGCCGCGAGTTCATTCTTGGTCATCTTTTATTTCATTGTGGTACTTTCCAATTCGACTAATCGCGAACAACTACCACAATCTAAATGCAAGACCATCCACATGCAATGACTAGTAACAGTTGTCCGCCGGAAGTATCGCGAGGCGTTGAAATCGTTAAACTTCTGAGGCCTCCTTGAGCTGTTCCCGCAGCTTTTTCTCTGTCCAGTTTGCGTGTAAGGGCAGCTCAAAAGGCTTACGATTGATTTACGCCGAATTCCAAAAAGTGGCTCATCTTTCTTGAAAAATGAAAGTGGAGTAGGCATCAGATATGTGCAGTAGTCAATCCTGGTTTGAAGTTAGCGGCGTGGCGGAACCATCAGTTATCAGTGTCTAGAAGCGTAAACGCGTGCATAATGGCCTCCCATTTTTATCGAGTCAATCTTCCTCCGCTGCCTTATTTGCCATGTAAAACTCCGGCTTGATACATCATAGGGAGTGTAAAAGTGTACTCGATTTAGTCGTGGCTGAGCAAGAAGGAACGAGGAACCTACTCCAAACTTGTGAAGCGATGTGCTAGAAAAACAAACAAAGGAACAATTTTCACTTACACATGTCAACATGCGAGAGGATATGGTGAGATCAATTCGCAAGATGAGAGGCAAAGATACCATCAGCCCAAACGCATTCAAAAGCATTGTTCTTGTTTCGCAAAGGTAGTTAGCTATTTACCATCGTTTACCTCTCATTATTATAACGTATGGGTTCAAGTTCAGGTTCAGGTTTTTTAGCACTCCCACTTTCAAAGGAAGACGAGCAGACGGTGGAAACCTTGATAAAATCTGGTGTTTTTTCTTCCAGGATACGCGAAAGACATTATTTTGTTGCGCTTATCATTGTTTGCTTATAGATAGTGTCAAAATTATCTATCTATCGGATCTATGGCTTGCTGTCAGATCCCTGAGAGATAGCTATGACTGTATTTTCTCATGGTGCGAGATGTGGCGTAAGTTAAATTTTTTCCGAGACTTTTTTAAGTAGCAGGTTGCAGAGACATCGCTGCGCGGAAGGGCCTTATTGGAGGTTATAATCATGTTGACGACCGAATATCGCTGAAGAATTTGATTGAAAATAATGAAAATATTGCAGCAGTGAAGCTGATAGAGACGACGGATTCAACTGGCGATGGTTCGTTTTAAGTATGCGCAAAGAAGATCTTACCAATTCAGCGTTTTGCTTGCAGGTTTCACCACTCGAAGAGGGAAATCATATCTGGAGCGTTTTGGTCAACGAGGAATCGTGCTGGACGACACATTTAACGTGACCAGATACGCATTTCGTCTAGCCACTTTGATCGTGTCCGACGATGCCGGAAATTGTTTCGCTTGCGGCCACCTATTAGCCTTCCGCATGACCACGCTGAGCTACAAATACTCTTTGGTCTCGTTCAGGTAAAGTCTAACAATTTCTCCTTTCTCATTTTGCAAACTCAGTTCAGGAGTACATTCCCAATTTTTATTGCCGACTAGCTGACGACCCGGTCTCGCCCGAGACTTTTAGTTCAACCAAGATGGGGTAGGGGAACGAAATCCGCCAGTTTGAAACATCTCCGCGGACTACTGGTCCTGCAACCACAAACAACAATATTTCAAAAGGACCAGTTGCCAGCAAAGGCGGCTCAAACTGGCGGAGTTCGTTCCCCCCACCAAAATGTCATCGGCTCCCACATTCGTGTAGAGGAGGGTTGCGCACTTCCTTGATTTTCAGGACAAACTTGTTAAACCTCCACGTTTTAGCATTGTATTTCTTACTTTCTCGTTGAGCTTTCCTTAAAACCAGTAAAGTCCGCAGCCCGCCCCCACACGAATCTGGAAGCTGATCATACTTACACTTTTTAACTTCTACCATGCGCAAAAAACGCTTTGAGACGAACCCGCTGCATCCTGTCGACCTTGAGATCAGAATGAACTTTACTACCCCTACTTACATGTTTATTGGAAATTAATTGGTTGGAGCACGTCTAACTTTCATTTTCCCAAATTTATGTAAACAAATCAATAAATTAATGGAAGGACCCTCGAATCGCCTCAGTAGCCATAAACCACCGCCGGGGTCGAAGACATATGTGTGCGAAATTTCAGCTCAATTGGTTCAATGGCTGGCGTTTCTATAACGAACGAACAACTAAACGAACATCCTCACAGACACTGAGTTTTAAATACAGTCGAGTAGATTTAGCGGTAAATATAGTGTGCTTGCACAGAAGGTGAAATGCGGTGAAATTGGCGCGTGAAGAAGTAGTTTTGACTGTGGCGCCGGCCAATTGCGCGCGCAAGATACCCGCGGTACTGACGTGGCTACCTGTTCACGCGCAAATTTCACCGCATTTCACCTTCTGTGCAAGCACACTATATTTACCGCTAAATCTACTCGACTGTACAGGGTGTCCCAAAAAAATGTATCGAACGTTTGATCGTTAATATCTCTCTTCCCAAGAAGTCTTTTGCCTTGCTTCAAATACCGTTTTGTGAAGCTGGCTTCATCTAAGATTTGCACTATAGAACGAATCACCCATCTCTCTTCATTACTGTAGGATTACGGTAAAAACTTGAAACATGTGGTGTCAATGTGGAAAAAGCTGCCGTTTCAAAAATTTTCAAAAAATTGTGAAAACTTGTGAAATAGGGTTTTTATGGACGCTGAGTTCAATACTCAACTATTCACAAGATTACGAAGCTTTCTAAACGGTGTAATTGCACTTTTTAGGAACATTGAAAAAATGACCGCTACTTCTTACTTGGCATGACTCTTCAATGGCATCACAATAATTGGGAACTTTACAGTTATAATAGCAACTCTAATTAACCTAGTGTAAAAGCTTTCAGGCTGTTTTGTTTCCTTTCTAAGGCAAAATATGGCCTTTTATTGCTTAAAACCCT